GGCTTACAGCTCCCTAGAGGGAAGGAGCCTGGCCACCCATGTGCTTCACTTGCCCTGTAATTCATAGTTCTCCCCAGTTCCACAGAGGAGCCTGCAGAGACTCCCAGCTCAGTTTCTGCCAGCAAATGAACCAGTATCTGTGATGAATCTTCTTTAAGCACAAGAGCAGCTGCTCTTGAAGCAGTTTCTCTTGGATACCTGGAACTTCAACACTTAGAAGGATGGTGACCCTCTAAGGTGTCCCTGAGTGGAATGTATCACAGCAAAGAAATGGTAAAATACCTGATAAGATGCCATGCCCCCGGCAGAGCACATCCCTCTTCCTCCTGATTTGGAGGTCAAATCTCATAATCTGGTGTAGCTCCCTTTTTGAACCTGTGTCTAAAAAGCACAAAATCCCATGTAAAGCACCACAGGAAGCAAAAAGAAACCCATACAAAGATGAGGAGAACTAAGAAGCAGTTCTTAGTGCCTGAGGAATGAAAATAATCCAGTGTAAATTTAAACTGATAGGAGAATTTTTGCAGAAAACCAAGAACCAGAGTAGATAGATGGTGGGAAGAAAATACATCTCCAGGGTATTCTGACCTTATCGTCTCATTCCAAGATTTCTACTCCTTACAGCTGCACTGAAGAATTTAATATTCCATTTTGTTTATAGTTAAATAGTGACACCAAGTAAAACTAAAGCTTTCATACAACTATTAATTTTTTTTCCAGGAATTAGTTCAGTTTCTGTCTGGACCAAGTAATGAAGCTGCACAGCAAATTAGAATTGTTCTTTGCAATATTAAATAGGAAAAATGAAAACTAAAAAGACCATCCTGATTGATGTAGACAGTCTCTGGATGCTTCCTGTTTGCCATGCATTTTTCATCAATGTGATGAAAATTTATTTGTATTAGTTTTCTAACTTAACAACTTGAAAATATGTTCACAGTCAACGGGAACGTTATGACTCATGGCAAAGCAAGGTGGAATGACTTTCCCCGTGCTGTTTGCATTCAAAGTACTTTCTGTGCTAATTTTTAATGTTTAGTCTTCCTCTGTAACTTTCACTCTTGTGATGTGTAATGAAATGAATAATATAAAAGACTTTCTCCTCTGTGGTTCTTCAGAGGTGGTCTTCCATTATTCTATGCTGTAGTTACATCAATACTCCAGTATCTGCTCAGTAGAAAAGGGCAGGCAGAGCACCAGAAGTGAGCTGTGAAGTGTCCAGCACTGCCATGACCTCAGCCTATGTGCCAGCAGGCTGACACTTCTGTAGGAGCAGCAAGGCCAGTGTGGTTTAATGCTAGCCCAGTTCTGACCTCAAAAAACTCAGCTGATAGACAAAACCTGTATGGAGATGTGAGACTCATTGGATCCATCAGTCAGATCTCTTGTTCATATTTTAGAAATGAAAGCTGGAATCTGCTGTTACTGGTTTAAGACAGATCCGACTGTTTTGGTATTTGTTGTAATGATTTAATTCCATCACTGTGTGGAAGAGGGAGAGGGATGGGATCTTGCTTCCCTTGCAGTGCACCCAAGGAGAGAGCATGTAACCTGGTAGCACTTGATGGTCTACATTAACCTGGTTAGCTGGTTTTGTAACGTGGTTCTGAAAGGAGAGATGGTTTACAACAATCTTCTTAAAGGTGTCTGACACCAACCTTGGCATTGCCCTTTTCTCCACCTGTGGCAGCATCAGTCACTAGACCTGGGCAAACACTGAAGCAGATTTTTACCACAAAGTCAGCTTTGATGTGTTTAACTTGAGCGATCATATGATTAATTTTGTTGTTATATAATCATGGCTCTCTTTGCAGACAAATGTCTTGCATTTTTAATGGTTATTTAATGCTGTACATAATTCTTTGTCAGAGAAGCATTTGATCCTGGCCAAGTTCAAATTGAAACTTCCCAGAGGAATAATCCAAATCTGCATTTCCATATATATTAATAAACTATGTAATACTTGCAGCAACTCACATAATACAGTTTTGAAATTAAATAGAACTCATTATCAGTACAATGAGAAGCACAGAGTCTCACCTGTCAGAAATAATGGAGTGAGACCTACACACCTGCCTTCTCTCTCACTGTGTCTGTAGTCATTGCTGCACAGTATGTTATGTTAAGCCTTTGTCAGCTTGTTGTGCTGTAGTGGGACACACGCTAGCCTCAGCCAGTTCCTGTGGCTGTGAGCAGGAGGAGTGTATAAATAAATCCTTTCATTCTGTCTGGGTTCATGATGTAACAACAGCAACACTGTGCGTTGCACAAGTCCAAATGGACCTTCAGGATGCTGCTGCCCGAGGGCAGAGGATGCCACGTTTGAAATCTGCCATCCTGCTTTTGAACTTGTACTCTGGGTGTGAGTCTGGAGTTATTCCTTTCTCTTTACACACAGGGGATTTTGGTCTGCACTGGCACCCCACTGTGTGCTGTGCTGCTGTGAACTGCTCAGACTCAGCTGGGAAACACCCACTGCCCTATACTGGGAATTGCTACCAGCGTTAGGAACAAGCCTAAGCCTTTTGTGATCCTGGCCAATGACCAGGGCCTAGGAGCAAAGGTTAGAGGCCATCTTCTTCAGCTTGTGGTTTACAATGCTGCACCACCAGCTGAGCATTTGCTCCTACATTCAAAGACAAATGCATCCTCTTTTAAATGTGATCAAAACCGGGAAAATGGTGTCCTGCTGTTTTTGCCTGGTAGCTGAGCAGAGGATGTAGGAAAGCAAGATCTACTCCAGATGCAATGCTGAACAGCAGCAAGTTCTGTTCCCATCTGAACCCACAACCTCTCTGACCTGGCTGTAGGCTCTTTGTTCTGGAGAAAGTGTAGGAAGTAGGTGAGGGTTTAATCTATGTTGAAATTAAGTAAAGAATGAAAAAATTAAGGGGGGGAATAAAAGGAAGGATTTGATTTAATTGTTTAATAAGACCGTGCATTTGGATACCAGGCATACATTTTGTAAGTTTTTATTTCTGGAATACAAGATGCAGCAGTTTGGCAAAAAAAACCCCCATGCTTCATATAAATGCAGTTCTTAAGTGTATTCTTAAGACAAGGGTGAAATATATCACCTCAGAGGGATTTGTGCAAGTCCATCTGGAAAAGAACCTGGCTTATAGTGGATGGTTCAAACATCTTCACACATCAGTGAAGTAAATGCAGTAATTAAATACTGTAAACTGTTAAGAATTGCAGCACTGGTGTCATGGCAAACTGAAATTTTCTTTGCTAAACGTGATTATCCAGTGGACTTAAGAAAGGAAGCAGACTCCCCACCTGCATTCTTCAGCATGTTTGGATAGTAATCTTCTTTAAATAATATGACAGGCTCTTTCTGTAGTCCAGTGTCAGAGGATTATATTATTTTCAGAACAATTTATGAAAGATTAGTACAGGCACAGTTAATCATTCAAACTAGCTACAGGTTTTTTAGAAATATTCAAATTAATGAGTTTTACCTTTTGATCTTTCTGGCTGCAAATCCCTTTGGAATTGATGCCAATTAGGATTTAGTAACAGCTCGGTTATGAACATGGGCCAGTGTGTGCATATGTGAGTGGTACATGTGTGTGCACACCTTTATATATGTGGGTAGGTGGCAGTGCCCCTGGAAAGTGGCACTTGGTCAGTTAGACCTGTTCTGATGTCAACAAGTTTTGAAAGTGGACATCTCCACTTAGAGAAGAAATGTAGTAAAAAACCAGGGAGAATAATAAGCAAACAAGGTTCTGCTTTATCATGCACAAAGCTGTATATTGCTCATTGCCAATCTGATGCTTTTAGGACAATTAGATACAACTTATGTTTTACCTACAGTGAACATGGGGACAGTATCAGGAAATGAGGTGACCTTGCATACTCTTCACACTTTTGAGAAATGTTCTCGTCTTTTAAAAAAGGAAATATGTTCCAGCACCAAATTAACTGCACCAGTCCAAGGCAACATCAAGTAAGAAACTTGCAGAGAAGCACTGACCCAACTTCACTCTGTGTAGGGAAAACAGGAGCTAATTAGAGCTTTCTGATACTTCACAGTTCTTGTACTGACATTTCTGTGTGCCCACAGTGGTACCATTTCAAACTTTCTTGCAGAGGCCCACGTTGACCTGTGTGTGTTGCTGAGTTTCTTTGCATAGTCACTGACTTGTCTGTACTGAAATGCGCTGTTGGTTTGCAGTAGAAACACCAGTAAGAGCTGTTTTTTCAGAACTGATAAGCATGAGTGGAACAGGAATAATATCAAATTCTCAGTCATGCCACCCACAGAAATACGCAGTTTTTGGTATGGTAGCACTTGTTTCAACTGAACTTTCCTTCTTCTTTACCTGTGTTTCTGAATGACTGGAGGTTATTTTCTTCCTGGTGTCCCAAAGCCCATGGCCTTTTCATCTCCTACACTTGTAATTTACTAGTCTGAAGCTGCTTGTGTTGCAGATTTATGTGGATTTGATGTGATGTTGAGTTTTCTATATCCAAGTAATTTTTAGAACATTTCTTCTTTACCACCCTTTAGTCTCAAGGGAAAAGATTGATTGGATGCCATGAGCCTTGTTTCCCAAGCTACATGAGCATCTGTAGTCAAATATGAGTGTCAGGGAGTGTGGATCAATACACCATGTTGTATTTCTAATGTGTTATTCTTTTCCCTACTCATAGTCTTCTGTTTTCCTGCAAACTCAGTTCTGACTTTCAATGTTTGAAATTTGTTCTGTAGAAAATTTCTAGTTACAATACTATGAAACCTGACAAAAGCTTTTCTTGATTTCTTCTTGTAAAATTCTGAGTGCATAGCAGTGTATCTATGTCTCAGTTGTTGGCAGCTTAAATTGAAAAGTAGGCTTTTCTAGTAGTCATCTTCCTTTCAGGGAAGAGCATTGCTTGTTTTCAAATTCAAAAACATGATCTGCTTGTAACAGACAGAACTGAGACCCTGGTTCCAGGTATGGTGCAGGCAAAGAAGGACCTTTTACTTATATTTGTATTTTCTCTTATAGCATAGGTGGAGAAGTAGCAAGAGGAAATGAAGGCAGCTACGTGGGGAAACATTTCCGCATGGGATTTATGACAATGCCTGCTCCTCAGGACAGACTGCCACACCCCTGCTCCAGTGGCTTCACTGTCAGATCCCAGTCTCTTCACTCAGTTGGAGGAACCGATGATGAGAGCAGCAGCTCTCGAAAGCAGCCACCTCCAAAACCGAAACGAGACCCCAACACCAAACTGAGCACCTCGTCTGAAACAGTCAACACTGGAACAACAAGCAAAAGTGGGAAACTACCGGACAGGACTGAAGGTAAGCGCTGTCATTCTTTGGAGGAAAAGGGTGTTGGTGAACCAGTCTTAAGATTATCCTGTTGCATTTAAGAATTGCTTGTATGTTTCCCAATTTGTGTAACAGTGCCAACACAGGTACCCTAGACCACTCATGTCTAAATGTTGGACCAACTATCCAACTGTCCTGGGTAGTTTTGCCTTTGGCATTTGTCACAGAACTGCACCACTTACATGGTCTGGATGTATACTGGAGGATGAGTTGAATTTATTCAAAGTGAAGGGGAGAAGAGATTGCTGTCAGCTGGAATGTAGGCCAATGTTATCTGCCCACCAGCCAAAGACCACTGACCATATTATTAGCATGGTGCAAACCACAGCTCTGGAAAGAGCTCTCCTCAACAAAGGAGTGAAGAACAAAAAATTAATAAAAAGAATACTGCATGGCCCTTAAACTCCACAGTAAGGAAATACCATCCAACAGTAAAAATTTTAGCCAGGATGATATAATAGATTGCCAAAAGCTTCTGTTTGTTTCTGAGTCTACATTTTCTCTTCCTATTCCTCCCAATTACATTTCAGCCAGTGCAGCCTTCAGAAGAGAATTAACAAATAGTTTTAGTAAGGATATTGCTTCCTTACTGTGCGCTGATAAAGATGAGCTGACGCTGTAGGGATCATCTCCTTCCTTTATTCCGTGCTGTAAATACATTCTGTGCAGCAGTAGGACCAGCTGTACTCTCTCCCAGGAGAGAGCAGGATGGCTCTGCTTCACAGTGTGTAGGAAGGAACCCATAAGGACAAATGGTTTTGGTTAGTGCTGGTGTCTCCCACTGCTGTGCTACGTATCAGTTTTGACATCTGATACAGCACGTTGTCCTCTTTGTGTGTATCCCTTTGCTTGGTTTTGTGGCCAGAAATACTTGTTAGCATTAAGCATATCTGATTTTAATATCCCCTTTAAGCAGATCTGATTTTGAAAAGTTGTCAATGATAACAAAGATGCCAGTGAATGTGTAAATCATGGTGACACATATGTCTATGATTGTGAAGTTGAACACAAGTGCTGAACAAAGCCGTGGATTTATTAATGCTCTTGGTAGTTTTTGTGCATATGACATTTTTCATTACTTCCATAGCTTGTCTTCTTCAGTGACCATGACATGAACTCCACCCAGACAAACATGACAAATGCAAGCATTGAGTAGCTGTCCTTAAAAAAAGCAGTTTTCCACAATTTTACTGGACCAAAGCCTACACAGAAACCATTTAATTTTGAGATTTAAATTCTCATATCAGAAAGTCTTCCAAATTTTAATTTCATAGAAAAAAAGAATGCATGGCACAAACTTCTTGGTCTGATATGGTCTGAAGTGAAAGGCTGGAGCTCTTACATTACTCAAAATTTCTTTTAAAAAATACAGCATTTTAAAGTATTTCTTATAATTCTTTAATGTATTTCTGACCACTCTTCCCCCTGAATCTGCCCAACCAGAATCACCAAGATTAGATGAAGTCTGTTTTGCAGACACAGTAGTATGAAAGGGTTTAATGTTTTCTAACTTGCTTAATGACTGCTCCTGCAAGTGTGCATTGTCACACAGTGCATGGTGCTGTTCAGAATAGCTGACCTTGCCACTACCTCTAGGATGATTAGGAATGGAGTGTCTTTTGCATCCATATCCCAGCCGTTTCCTCATTTACTGAGACCAAGAGAACTTGACAGACATGAAATAGCAATAATAATGATAACAATAGTTGAAATACATCCAAGTATTTGGCCAGCCTCACAGAAGTTATGGCAGACCCCTTAAGCAGCCTTTGTCCTCACAGAACTAGGTTTTCTTCAGCATTATTGTCATTCTGGAAGGTTCTGAAAATTTTGTTTCCTTTCCCTCATCTTCTTCTGCTATCTGAAATATGAGTCCAAGGAAGGAATATCTAGTCATGTCCCTTCTGACAGATTTCAAAGTTTGAAATTGGTTGACATTTCTGTTTCCAAAGACACTTTTCCTCCTCCACTCCATGCAGGTTAAGCTTGATCTATCCCATCACATGAGGTTGTGAGTGACATGTGTGGTGCTGTAGCCTTGTTCACTCTGGTTCAGCTGTATGGCAATGGTAGTATACCAGAGTCCAAGTAGAGCACCCTGGATTCTCATTATTGGAATCAAGAGCTGAATATTCATAGCAAAATCTCTGGAAAGAATTGATGAATGAGTAATACTCCATCACTAGCATAAAATATAATACCTAAATATTACCTTTCAGTGTGAATAAATGCCTTAATGGAACATTAAGAATCTCTATGATATTTAATTTATGACATGTATTATGTTCATTCTGCTGTTTTGCATTAGAGCAGCAATGGGCACTTTCAGGCTAAAACGAAGAAGTTCCTGTAGGTTTTTCAGTTGACAGAACCCTTTGATCACACTGTTGTTTTTATGTGTTCAGAATGCCTGCCCTGCTTCTATGTATACTGGGGTTTCACCAAGGAGTTCAATACATAGAAAGATCATATTGTAGGGTTTTTTGGTTTGGTTTGGGTTTTTTTTAAGGGAGCAGTCAATTTTTTGACACAGATATACTCAAGAGTGGTACAATATGGTGTTTAGGTGAACAGACTGGATTTCTAAGATGTTTTGCTCTCACTAGGAGAGGCTTTGCTATCACCTGTGCACTCCAAGGTAACATTTGTTTTGATGAATTTTCACAGTAATCTGGCTAATATAGGAATGTTTATATAAAAACTATGGTCATACATTGATGAGAACCTCTAAAGATGAGCAGAACAGATGGAAGTCAAAGTTCATTACCTGCAGTATGATTGATACAAATATTAGACAAGCTTTGTCACTGAATATGAAATTATTACTGTTGTTCTAAAATTAATTCCAACAAATTTAGTATCTGAAATTTTGCTCAGAGGATCCTGTGAAGCTCTGATTCTACTAGTCTTGGTTTTTTGTGGGACATTGGTTATGTTTTTACCTATGTAGCAGTTCTCATTCTAGTAGCTGTGAATTCAAGATATTACAAGTCTGCCTATTCCCAATTTCAGGTAAGAAATTCCATAGGATACAATATTCCTGATTTTTTCGTATTTCTTTGAAAGCTCAAGTCCAAGTACAGGCAGGTTAAACTTTCAGTCACTGTTGTCTATATTGTACCCAAATATTTGTATATGCATGTGTCTCACACATTTGCATGTACTTGTGGTATTTGCAGGCTGAATGACTACAGCCTTTTCCAGAAACTATGGAAAATAATGATGAAAAACTCTATTGTTTCTCCATCAACTACCATGGAATCTTTACAAAGAAGCTGTCACAAAATTGTTCCCAGCTCAATTATTTTATGGCTGTGCAGAATAATTCTGACTATAATGTCTGTTGTCTGACCCTGTGGCAAAAGGAATTTGCTATACTTTCTAGACAACCAGGGACAGCCTCATCACTCCTTTTTATTAAACATGTTTACTTTTTACTTTTTGATAGTGATCTGGTGTATACAAACAAAAGCAGTAACTGATAGTAACTTTGATACTCTTTTTGATCATGGTGAAATCAAAATATTAAATGTATCCCATCATAATATCTGCCATAACATTAGACTGGCTTGATTATGTCTGACTTTACTGCAGAAGGGGCAGAAGAAATTTGGTCATGAGCTTGAAGGACCTTTTCCTCCTGAAGCACAAACAGCAGCAGTAACACCCACACTGATTCTGTGCACTTTTCCTGTAAGTGCTCTGGCCTCCATCTTTGTGGAGTGTGAGAATCTTCCCTTAGGTTGCAGTGACACACACTGGCCCTGTCCCTGTGCCCTCAGCAGCATGGCAACACTTGGGTTTGTTTCATTCACCCCAGCCTACCTTGGCTCTGCCTGAATCAACCCTCTCCAGCCTGAAGGATTCCTTCTCCTTAACTTGACTTCAGCTTTGTTGCTGTGTTTCCACACTTTGTGTCCCTTCTTGTGCTTTAATATTCTGTTTTTCACTCTTCTGGCTGCCTCTCATATGCACCCACTGAACGCCTTCCACCTAATGCATTTCTCTTCCGTGACAGATTTCTAGAAAGTGTTTTTTTTAAAATGTGGGCTGTCTTTTCTTCAGAGTTTTCAAACTCTGATAGGAGCAGCAAATAAATGGAGCTGTGCCCCATGCATCACACATTGGAAGTGAGAAGTGTTCTGAAAAGGGTAATTTAAAATAATATTTCAGTGTGGAAGGCATATATAATCTTGATCCTGAAGGGCTCTTTATTGAGAAAATGCAGGAGTGTAATTAATTGATTTGTTTTCAGTGCCTGATCTCGCAGAAAAAGGAAGTAATAAAACAGTATAATTGACTGATGTAACCAGCCTCAAGTGGTGTTTTTTGATATGATCACTGCATGTCTACAGATCTGCTGCAGTGCAAATAAAAATTAAAATATATGTGAACTGCATTTTGAAAATTAATTTTTTGTTAAAATTCTGCTTAGTAATATGGAGTACTACACTATATAAAGAAATACACATGAAATATATAATTTAATTAAAACTTTATGTCTGCATAACATACACGTGTAGTGAAAAAGCAGGTTCTGTATACTTGCATGTACATATGAACATGTGCACACAGATACCAGTTAAAACTCAGAGTAGCATTTTCAAAATGAGCTGAAGGAAAATTTACCACTGATGTGAGAAAATACTTGCAGGAGACCCACCTTTTGAACCCACTCATTTTGTTTAATATTTTCCTTCCAAGTGTCTTGGGAAAGAAGATATCCCTCTTGCTGCTGCCTTCTAAGCCCTTGCAGTGAGCTCAGCAATTTCTAAAGGTGGGCAGCCTGTAAGGAAAATTCTTCTCAGGAGAAAAGCAATTACAGTAACTGTAACTGGGCTTGCAGTCCAGCTGGTCTCTCTCATAAATCTAGTTTTCTGTCAGCTAGACTGGTGGCTCTTCATTGTAAATTTGAACTTTTGGTACTCTCATTAAGCAGAGTTTGGATTAAAGGGATTTAGCACTTTTGC